TTGCAGCAGCCCCGGGTTGAATTGAAGGGTCCTTGGTGGTCTCTGAGCTTGAGGGGCGGGGGTGTGTGTGTGTGTTTCCTTGCAGACGTTTCGTGTCCCAAGTAGGGAACACTATCAGTGCTAGGAGGGAGTGGGGTTTGTGGAGATGGGGAGGGAGGGGGAGGAACGAGGAGGAGGAGGAGGAGAAGGAAAAGGAGGAGGAAGAAAAGGAGGAAGAGGAGGAGGAGGAAATAAAAAAAGGACCGTGGGGTCCCTGGTGCTCTCTGAGCTGGGTAGTTTCCTTGCAGACGTTTCATGACCCAACTAGGGAACTTCGTCAATGCTGGAAGGGGGTGGGTTTTGCAGAGATGAGGAGGAAGGAGGAAAGGGAGGAGGAAAGGGAGGAGGAATGTGGGGTCCTGGGTGCTCTCTGAGCTTGGCTGTTTCCTTGCAGACGTTTCAGGACCCAACTAGTTAACGTCATCCGTGCGAGGGGGCATGGTTGGCTTGCACCTTTTTTCAGATGCAATCTATGGGGGAGATATGGGCGGAGGGGGGCGGGTGTCTTGGCCTTTCTCCTTCCCTCCCATGCAAAACGGGGTGGCCTAACGCCCCCCCTCCCCTCCCCCACCCAGCCAGGCCAGGCACAGAGACTCACCCGGGGGCATAGTAGCCTTTGGTGTACTGCCCCAAATTAGCACCATGGCTGGGCGGCAACGGCAGGGGCAGAGGTGGCTGGACGGCACTGGCAGAACACCTGGCAGCGGAAAAGCGGGGGGGTGGGGGGTGAGAAAGACATGACAGATGTCAGCTGGGGGGGGGGGGGGGGGGGGGGGGGTGGGAGAACACCAGGGTCCTGCTCCCCATCCAGCCGGGCTGGGTTTCTTCTTCTATGGGGGTGGAAAAATGCACTCCGAGACCATTTGGGGCAGGGGTCTCCCTCTCTCTCTCTGACTTAGGAAAGGAAGCAGAGCAGACCACACCGAAACAGCCCCCCCCCCCCCACTCAATCCGGGAGAGAAAGGGGAAGCAGAGCACGGTTTGACAAAGCTTCTCCAGCAGAAACGCAGGGCGGCAGCTGAAGCTAACCCTGGTTGAGGCTCGCAGGAATTTGGGGGGGAAAGACCCTGCAGATGAGCAGGCCAACAGAGTCTGAGCTCAATCATCTTCTTTTAAAGACCCCTGTTATCCCCTTGCGGGGTGGAGTCTTGGGCAACTGAATGGAGTTTTGAGTGTTTATTGGCCGGACGCTCTTCCTGTCGCCAGGGAGGAGTTTTTTGTTCGGCAGATATATTCTCATTGTGCCCAGAAGGAGAAATATCTGGGAAATATTTTACCTAGGATCAAAGCCACAGCCTCCCGATTGTAAGGTGAGAGCGCCACCTCAAGCTTAACCACACCACTCATTTCCATTCCACAGCGGAACCCCAAATTTGAATAGCAACTGAATGGAGCTAGCAGAGTGTTTTAATGGCCGGATGCCCTTCCTGTCCCAGGACGGAGTTTTTTGTTCAGCTCAATAAAGGGGTATATTTGTAGCTCAGGGTTGAAAAGAGGAGTCCTTGGTGGTCTTCTGAGCTTGGTGGTTTTCCTTGCAGACATTTCAGAACCCAACTAGGCAACGTCATCGGTAGTGGAAGGGAGAAGCATTTGCATATCCAGCACTGACGACGTTGCCTAGTTGGGTGGTGAAACGTCTGCAAGGAAAACCACCAAGCTCAGAAGACCACCAAGGATCCCTGATCTCTTCTCAGCTCAGGGGCACAAAGGCCCACCTGGAGATTGGAGGTAGTCCTCAACTTGTGACCGCCAACTGAGCCTGGAATTACGGTGATGAGTCATATAAGCCGTTAAGCAATTCCATCACCTTAAGCAGAAACCTGATTTTACGACATTTTTGCGGTGGCCATTAAGCAAATCGCCATCGTCATTAAGCGAATGAAAAGTCGTTAAGTGAACAAAGCAGTCATTAAAGCAAAACCTTTTGTCTGGAATGGTGAGGGTTTTTTTTTTCCTGAAAATAGTAATAATGACTGGTTTCTGGCAAAAAAAAACCCCGTTGTGGGTCGCAGTCACAACTGCGGGACGTGGCAAAGAGCCGTCAATCTGGATCTGTTGCCAAGGGTCCAAATTAATTTTGAATTTGGGGTTCCTAAGTCCCTTTTGGGGGGGGGCTCCGTCACCACTTCAAAACGGTTGCTAAACACCCAGTCGTAAGTCGAGGACCACCTGTGTGTGCAGAGCCAATTTACTCTGCGGAGTTCTGCCTAAGGGGGCAGTCCTCAACATATGACCGCAACGGAGCCCAGAGTTTCCAATGCTAAGCGAGACAGTGGTTAAGTGAGCTCTGATCCCTTTGTCAAACTCATAAAACATTCCTATGGCCCGTTTAGAGTTGCCAACAGAAAGGGAGGGGGGGGGAAAGGGGTTTGAAAGAGCAGTGCGGCAGCTGGGAAACCGAAAGCGCATTCCGCAAATGGTTTTAAAGATAGTAACTAGGTGACGGAAGTTTCTGCCGTGCAAATCTCTAACTGGAGAGCATGATTGATGACTCTGGGCTATGGCTGTATCCCATTGGAGAATATGAATTACGATACGCCCAGGGGGGGGGAAGGGGGGGTGAACCAGGGTCAAGGGTGACAGTGAATGATGGGTCTCAGAGTCGGCTACACCCAGGCAGTGCCGGACATGTTCACTCGCAATAAATCCTTTTGAAATTTGGGAAGTTTGGCTCGAGACTCATGATTTAATTGCGGGGTAATTAAATGGGTGCCAGAATCCTGACACCCTTTTTACAACCGGGGGGGGGGGATGCTGCAACGGTCATAAGTGTGAACAATGATCATAATTCCCCCCCCCCTTTTTTAAGTGCCAATGTCACTCTCGACAGTCACTAAATGGACGGTTGTTAAGTCGAGAATTTACCTGCACGGATGAATTTATCTAGGAAACTCAAAAAAGTTTCTCTCTTTTTAAAAAACTTATGTATCAATAACTCCCAAATTTCACCTGGAAAAGCAAGGATTTTGGAAGCAAAAATGAGGGGGGGTTTTTTTTGGGGGGGGGGAGGAAGCCAGGTTTGACTGAAAGACCTCAGGAGCTGTTGACCTCCCCCCACTTGCCCAACCCCCACCCACCAACCCGCCCCGCCTTTCCTCTCGCCCTCCCCCTGCCCAGAATACCTGCCCCCCGGGAGCCATGGGCGAGAATGGCACGAACTCCAGGCTCCACTACAGCCCAGGTGGCCGAGAGAAAATGGGTCCCGCCCAGCACGGACCCCTAACTGTTCCAACGTTCGATGCATCCAGTCTGCGGGCGGAAAAGAGAGACGGGGTTAGGGGCAACCGGCAGAGGAGGGAGACATTTCCCCCCCCCCCCCACACACACACACACCCTGCCAGGGACCGTTTATGTCCTGCATGTTGTAATTTAACTCTTTTCCTAAATACCCACTTTCTACAAAGAGAAATCTCTTCCCTTTGTTTGAGCTTCAGACGAACCGGTTTGTTTGTTTGAGGTTCAGACGAACCGGTTGCTAATTTTATGGCCGGTTCAACGAATTTAATTGTACAATGAAACTGAATGAGCCTGCCTTGGTGCAGCCCCCTCCCCCACCCCACAAAAAAAACCATGAAATACACCTCAATAACTCAATCAATGAAAGACATAGAATCCCTAAACCCAAATAAGTAATAACACACATTCCCATATACCTATATATGTGCAAACTAGCTCTATACCCGTGCTTCACTTCGAAACTAGGTGGTCGGGCTTAATTTTGGGGAAGAAAAATAAGGGGGGAAAAATTCTGCCTCTGCCTACCAGCATCCGTTGGTATTCATCTGACTAGCGCCCTGTCAGTGTGTGAGAGAGTTGAGGGCTGTTTGGAAACTGAAAGAGTATTTGCTGTGGGAGCAAGGAGACAGCAAGGAGCCTGGGCGTGGCTTAGCTCAACTGTTCTGTACTAAAGCTGCTTGGTGCTGCTGTGAAAGTGAAAGTGAAACTCCTCTGGTTGTGTTTTGCCTTTACAAAAGATTTCTTCCCAGGTGGGGAGGGGGAGTAGAACTCCTTAGCATCAGAGCGTGTTGTTTAATAATAATAATAATAATAATAATAATAATAATAATAATAATAATAATAATAATAATAATAATAATAATATAGGAAATACTCTAAATGCTCTGATGGTCATTTAGAAAAATCCTTTCTTAGGGAGCCCCTAGAAGCCAAAAGGAACATAGGTGCCAAATGTCAAATTTGTAGGCTTGACGGTTCTGGAGATTTTGTGATGATGTGTGAGGGGCATTTCACATTTAGATAGATAAGATTACACCAGTATGAACAGGTTGCAGGTTGCACTGGCCCTGCAAATCTATCATATTAAACCTAATTGTGGTGTCATGTTGCAGTCAGAAGTCCTTACGCTTTCTCCTTTCCCCACAGCAACCCTGTGAGGTGGGCTGGGCTGGGCTGGGCGAGAGACTCACCCAAAATCACCCAATTGGTTTTCATGCCTAAGGTGGGACTAGAACTCCCAGTCGCCTGGGCTTAAAGTCACCCAGACAGCTTTCACACCTAAGGCAAGATTAGAACTCCCGGTTATCTGGTGATTGGCCCAAAGTCACCCAGCGGGCTTTCATGCCCAAGGCAGGACTAGAATTCACCATCCCACTCTTTCTAGACTAGCACCTTTACCCACTTAACCAAACCGACTCTCCTTTCACACAAGACCCAGATGGGGGTTTGGGGCCCAAAAAAAAGAAAGACAAACCACGTCTGAAGGTGCACGGGCATAGTCGCCGGAGATCCAGACTGACCAGAAGACCCAAATAATAGCATAGATTAATCAATGCTATAAAACTGGAGCCTCCAATCTTGGAAATGTTAAGACTGGTGGACTTCAAATCCCAGAATTCCTCAGCCGGTTTGAGACTCGGGAGACTTCAACTGCCAGAATTCCTCTGTCGCTTTTGAGACTTTAAACTCCCAGAATTCCCCAGTCAGGCATATTCTGGGAGTTGAAGTCCACCAGTCGTAAATTTGCCAAGGGTGGAGACTCCCGATAGAGGAAGCATCTTCTACCCATTTTTATTAGCAGTGCCATTTGGTACATTTAATCCTGTTTGACCCCCAAATCCTCATCCTCTCATGCACCCCAGGGGCCGTTGCTGCCCCCCACCTCTCCCTCCATTCCTCCAAGCCCATATCTTACCTTTCTGCCGCTGTGGATGCGTCTTTGTTCCCCACCCTCCACCCCCCCAAGATCCAGGCGACGGGTGCCCCCTCCAGCCGTGGATAATTTAGACCTCCTCCGGTTTAAAGCCTCTGGCAGTCACAACCGCATATAATGCTACAAGAAAAAAAGAGAGAGAGAGAGAAACAACATTTAAATTCATAGGGGGCGTGCATAAGCGCACCAACGTGCCTACCGTCCCTGTCCTATTGTTTCTCTTATTCTTCTTTTATTTTTCTTATATGTACCCATTTCATGTATTCACAACTATGTATACACTTATACTTATTATCTTGTAAACAATTGGCAAATCAAATAAATAAAATAAATAAATAAATAGCCCTTTGCACCCCTCCCCAAAGTGCATTCTGACAACCCTGTGACCCCCTTGTTCTGTCCCCCCAACCCAGGAAGTAGGGGGAGGCTTCTAAAAGCTGCCCCCCTGGTGCCAAGGATGGAAATAGCCTTTTCCCTTCTTTTTTTGGGGGGGGGGGGGAGAATTTTGCACCCAGAACCCTCACACGCACACACCCCTAAAAAAAATGTGCAAAGGTTGTTAGGTCGCGTGAATGCGGTTTTTGAAACGGGAATTGGGGTTTTAGGAAGAGCAGCCTAATTATCCTTCCAGTTTTGAGCCCAGTTCTAGGACGGGCCTGAGCTTTCCTGCGCTCTGGCTGGGAGCAATGGGAGTTGTAGTCCAAAACAAAGGCAGAAAGGGGACGGGGACAAGGATGGGAGGGGGAGGTATAAAACCGAGAGAGGCATGCACTTTTCCTGGGGGGGGGGAGGGAAAATTCCCAGGTTTCATCTTAGGCTTTCCAAATAACCATCATTCCAACACGCGGACACGCACTAGGGAGCATTCACACGACACGCGCAGCTCTGGACCCGCATCTGCCAAAAGCCTCGGCTTCCCTTTCCCTTTCCCGGCCGTACTTTCAGCACGTGGAAGGCGACCCCAGCGTCCGGAGACGGCGGAAGCGGCTGCCTTTTCCGCCGCTTTCGGAGGTCGTTCCCATCCCACGTCCCCAGTTTAACTCAGTTCGCTCCAGCCGGAGAGGATTAATCCTCGGCGTTTTTTGTTTTTTGTTAAACTCTCCCACCCATCAGCGCAAGCTCCTCCCCCTCGAGGCGGGCCCCTTCTGGCCCCGCATCCAATAGAACGCCTGGCTTGGAAGGTGGGAAGGCGGGGCCTCCGTCCCGCCCGCCCCCCCAAAATTAACCCCTGCCCAGCTGGCTGCTCTTAGCCGAGGTGCCTTGCGCTCTTTTCTCTCCAGCCGAGCAACCAATTGCGCCCCCTCCTCCCTTCGGCCACCAATCAGCTTTCGCCTTGATCTTCCAGAGGGGTCTGAAACCATAGAGATAAATGGGGAGGGTCGGCCCGAGATTCGCACTCCAGATCAGCGATTGCTACTGTCTGGCCAGCTGAAAGTGGGGGGGGGGGGGGGGGGGGGGGGGAGGAGAACCAGCCAAAGGCGAACTATAGACTAAATACGGTGCTTCTCAAACTTGAAGGTGGGCGGACTTCAACTCCCAGAATTCCCCAGCCAGCCATGAAACCCGCCCATCTTCAAGCAGCTAACAATGATGGTTTGAACCTGTATTTTAAGTGGAGGATTTTTATAGGTCGTCCTTGACTTTTAGCGACCATTTCAAAGATACAAGGGGCTCTGCAGATGAACTTAACAAGAGTTCGTTTAGTGACGAACTTACAAGAGTTCGTTTAGTGATGAACTTTTAACAGTTTGTTTAGTGACGAACTTACAAAAGAGTTTGTTTAATGACAAACATACAACAGTTCGTTTACTGACTGGAGTTTCAACGGCACTGGAAAAAGTGACTTAGGGCCATTTTTTTCACACTTAACGACCCATGGTCACGTGTTCTAAATTCAGATGCTCGGCAACCGACTCGTATTTATGACGGTGTCAAGTCCCCGGGGTTTATCGGATTCCCCTTTTGCAACCAGCAAAAAGTCAATGGGGAGAGCCAGATTCACTTTACGACCGTGTGACTCCCTTAACAATGGCAGGGATTCACTTCATAAGAGTGGCAAGAACTGTCATAGGGCAGAACTCGTTGAGCAACTGTATCGCTTAGCAATGGAAATTCGGGGTTCAGCTGTCGGTCGTTAAGTGGGAGCCCATGGGTTGAACTCTTGACTCCCATCATTCCCAGCCAGGCCATGCAGCTTTTCCTCAAAACAACAACCCTGGAAGGTGTGTTGGGCTGAGACACAGAGATTGGACCAAAGTCACCCAGAATCTCCAGCTGGCTTTTAGGCCTAAGGCAGAGCTAGAACTCACAGCCTCTTGTCGTTGTGGTCGTAAGCTGAGGTAGTCCTCCACTTACGACCATGATGGAGCCCCAACACATCTGTTGTTCAGTGAGACATTGGTTAAGTGAGACATTTGTTCCGTTTCACAACACTTCTAGCCACATTTGTTAAGTGGGATCCCTGCCATTGTTAAGTGAGTAAAACACGGTCGTTAACTGAATCTGGCTTCCAGGTCACAGAAGGACTACAACCGTCATAAATAGGAGTCGGTTCTCAAGCATCTGAATTTGGATCATGTGACCACGGGGAAGCTGGTCGTAAGTGTGAAAAACGGAGTCGTAAATCACTTTTCCCCCCCAATCCCGTTGTAACTTCGAACTTCGGTCGCTGGATGAACGAAGAAGCCGCCCGTAATACACACCTGGAATCCGGCGTCCAGTTTTGGTCCCCACGTTTACAGGAAAGTTGCTGAGACTTTGGGGAAAGGGCAGAGGCGAGCAACTAGGGCGATTCAAGGCCTGGAGAGTAAAACCCACGAAGAACAACGGTTGCAGGATTTGGGTTGGGCCAGTCTGGAGGAAAGGAGGACTTGGGGGGGGCATGACAGCCTCTTCCAGTATTTGGGGGGCTGCCCCAAAGAAGAGGTGGGGGCACCTATCCTCCGAAGCCCCTGAATGAAGGACAAGAAGCAACGGGTGGAAACCCACCAAGGAGAGAAGCAACCTGGAATTAAAGGAGAAACTTCCTAAGAGGGAGGACAACTAACCAGGGGAACCGCTTGCCACCAGAAATTGTGGGCGCTCCAACATTGGAGGTTTTTAAAAGAAGGAACTGGGCAGTCATTTGTCTGGAATGGCTCAGGGTCTCCTGGTTGAGCAGGGGGCTGGACTAGAAGACCTCCAAGGTCCCTTTCCAGCTCTATTCTGATTAAAACCGATGGAAAACCTGGTGCTTTAACCACGAGACCCCCCCCCAACCAGCTTGTTCTCGGTGCCCTCCATCTTCCCATCTGTAAAATGGGCAGAGCTCAGCTTAAGCTGCTCTGGGGATGAATGAATGAACCCAATTTCTCTCTCCCAACCCCTTCCACAATTCGACTGGAATTTAGGAGAGCCTTTTTTTTTTTCTCCCACGACCTCACGGGAGGGGAGGGCTGTGTCCACCCACCGCCCACCAGGGCCTGTGACTCACCCACCCACCCACCCACCCACCCATCCCCAGTCCGTGTCCTGCCAGAAACCCGGAGCCAGACAGTCGCACTGGCCAGGCCAGGCCTATCTTTGGTGTGGTCACGCCTGGGCTTTTATAACCAGATACGATCCGTGGGAACCCACCCACCACACAGGGCTAGGCGCAAGGAAGCCTGTTTTGGAGGGGGGGGAAGTCTCGTCTTCCCCCCACACACTCCCCTCCAGCCCCAGACGTGGCTAGGAGGTTGGCTATTTCTGGAACAGCCCGGAGCTAAGTTTGGCTTCTCAAGCAAGGCAAGGCGGTTGCGGTTACAACGGGCCTTGTGTGTGCATTGCACGCCTGCCAAGCAGCCCAGCGGATGGGGGGGGGAGGAAAAGTGTGTGTAGGGGGGGAGTAAGCAGCTGGCAGGACTTCCCTGCACGCCTTCGGATGAGGGAGGGGGAGGAAGCTGCCAGGCCGAATCACCAATGGCCGCATTCGCACGTCTTCGGTTTGTGCAACCGGGGAGCAACGTCTGACCAGCGCAGTGGGACGGGAGTGCAAACTTCCGAGGGGAGACGCATCACCCGAAGTGTGCAAAGGTCAAAGGAGGGATGGGGAGAAGAAGATCTTTCGCCCTGGGGAGAGGGGGGGGAGTTGCTAATCAAACTAATCAAGGAGAGAAGCAACTTTCTACTAAGCTTCCTAACAGGGAGGACAGTTGACCAGTGGAACTGCTTGCCACCAGAACAGAGGTCTCCAAACTTGGCAACTTTAGACTTGTGGACTTCAACTCCCAGAATTCCTCAGCCAACCACGCTACTCCACAAAGAGTAGAGGAAGGAACGGAGGGAGGGAGGAGAGAAAGGGAAGGGAGGAAAAGGGAAAAGAAAGGGAAAGGAGCAGAGAGAGGAAGGAAGGAGGGGGAGGGAAGGAAGGAAGGGGAAAGGAAAAGAGAAAGGGAAATGAGAGGAAGGAAGGAGAAAAAGGGAAAGGAGGAGAGGAAGTAAAGAAGGGGAGAAAGGAAGGGGAGGAGAGGGAAGGGAGGGGAGAAGAGAGGAAAGGCAGGGAGGGAGGGAAATAGGAAGGAAGAAGTTGAGAGACAGAAAAAAAGAAAAAATGGAAGGGAGGAAAGAGAAGCAAAGGGGAGAGTGGGAGGAAGAGGAGAGAAAGGGAAGGAAGGACAGAGCGAGAAATCAGGAAGAAAAGAAATAAGGAGAAAAGGAAGAGGAGAGGGAAGAAAAAAGGAGGGGAAAAAGGGAGAGAAAGGGAGAGAAGGGAAGAAAAAGGGAGGGAGGGAGGAAAGGAGGGAAGAAAGGGAAGGGAGGGAGGGAGGACACTGCACTGGACTAGGCATAATTCAGAGAGGAAGAGGAGGAAAAGGAAGAAGAAAAAGGCTCTTTGGAACAAGCCAATTTTGCTGAAGCTGGGGGTTGGACTAGAAGACCTCCAACGCCCCTCCCAACCCTGTTATTCTATGTTCTAAACCAGGAGTGTCCAACTGTGACAAGTTTAAGACGGGTGGATTTCAACTCCCAGATTTCCTCAGCTGGCTTGGGACTTCTGGGAATTGAAGTCCGCCAGTCTCAAAGTTGCCAAGTTTCGAGATCCCTTGCAGTGGAAGTTGTGGCATTTAAGAAGAGATTGGACAACTCTTTGTCTGAAATAG